GCAGAAGGGGACACAGCACACATCTTCTTAACATTTAACAAACAATTCCGCTGGATCAACTGCATGTAAAGGCACAAGAAATTTAATACAATCTTTCATGTTTGAAAACGTGCAGGAAAGGCAAAGAACACAGTTTTGTTACCCTAAATAACCATTTGGTACAGCAAGTCTGTGCCAGGAGCTGGACTCCCAGCACCAGCGAGAGGAAGACGAGGAGAAATGTCCTTTGCACCTGGAAGAACAAAGACAGGAAGAGATGAGCACCACAGATCTGATCAACCTGCTTTGATTTTAATCTCACAATCAGGCAAGGAAAATGAAACCTGTTATAAGCAATTTCAAAACCTCTGACACGCATTTTCTTTAGGGAAAGGGGACACTGAGGATAAGGAACATGAGCAGCCTGCACAATTTTCTAATTTCAGAAAATCTCCAAACAGGAGCTCGGGTCTTTCCAGAGTATCCTCGCCCTGTAAATCAAACAGCTCCATGCTTCAAACGTGTTCGTCCGTGTCCTACCTCACAAGCCCTTAGCTTTTACTTGTCTTCTTGGCATCAGTGCTGGCTGTCGGCTTGCCCTTTGCCTGCTGGAGAAAAGGACTGATCAGGGAGGGGTTACATGGCCCTACAGTGCAGCAGGGGAAGACATCACAGAGTGTGAGAAGAGTAATTAATGGCTCCTCTTCCATCTTCCAGCAGTAATTCAGAGAATGCAAGTCAGCAGTAGAAAAAAAAGGCTTCAGGAGGAATAATTAAACTCTCTCTGTCTACTAATTAATAAGATGAAGGCAAGATGAAATGGGCAAGTTGTTTCCTATAAAAAACACTGAGATAAAACCAGCTGACTAGTTACACTTTTGTAATTAAAACATGAATAAGTGTTACTCTCTGTTCACGCTATATTACAGAAAAACAAAAACAACACTGTTAAGCTAAAATTTTAAATCGCACCAATACCTACTTAACTTTATTATAGAAAAAACAGAATTTGTGACAAGCAGATGCCAAAGATTAAATCATCAAAGCTAGACTACATAATAATGAGATTTTCAAGACCGCTATCAGTCATGACATGACCAGGTTATGCCAGTTGAAATCATGTGTCCCTGTAACCTTTCTGTAGCTAGCTCATGTTGAATATTTGCACAATTTTGGTCACTGAACTACAAAAAATACACTGCTGCTCTGGAATCTGTTGAAAAAAGAGCAACCAGATATATCCCTACACTGACAGGCTGAAAGAACTAAACCTCTTTAGTCAGGAACAGAAGACTACGAGGGAACCTGATACAAAAGCCTTCAAAATCCTGGAATGTATTGACTGGATGTCTTCAGGATCAACACTTGAACATGGACCAGTGGGCACAAGTGGAACCTATATGGAACAGGTGGCACTTCTTCACACAAAGGGTGGTGGGAGTGTGGAACAGCTACAAAGCCATGTAGTAGAAGCCAATACCCTGGTTTCTTTCAAGAAACAGCTGGATGAGATCCTTGCTGCATAGCTGCTCGTAGCATCCAATGATCTCTGGATGGGCTGAATGGCCTCTTCTTGTGAGTTCATACAAAAACAGTTATGACCCTCTTCATGAGGTCAAACCTGCTTTCACTTCAGCATGTGTGTTCCCTCAATATCTGTTTAATGCAAATGTTGCCTATAAGTAGGAGTGTGGTTGTGTCACAGACCATCTATATCTATCTTGTTTTTCTGAGCAGCCCAGGTACAGGAAGTGTTAGGCCAGTTTCTTGATGGACAAAATAAATAAAATATATAATGGAAAAAAATTCAGAGCAAATTCAGTGTCCCAGCAATGACTTCTGATTCACACAATACTGCACAACAACCCACTTTTCCAGCCACAGCAACATGAGGTTCATTTCCTTCGAGAGGAGAACATTTCTCTCCACAGAGAGCCAGTGAGCTGGGTTCTTGCATGTGCAAGCGGTGCGGACTCCGGCTCCGAGACCTGCCCAGCTCTGTGTGGAGCAGAGCCGTCAGAGGCAGGACTCGGCGGGGGGTCCTGGGGTTTGCAGTGTGGAAAGGAGACGGTCTTGAAATGGCGTGACTGCAGGGCGAGTGAGCACAAACTAATCACACTCCAGCTGCTGACGAGCCCGGGAGGCGAACTGCGCAGGGCTGCACCTACCTGCGCGGGCTGCGCGGCCTTGTCTGCGGGGGCGGCAGG